TCCCACTCCTGCTGAGGTGGATCGCTCCTGGTCCCACTCCTGCTGAGCAAGTCAGGCTCCTGGCTCTGCGCATGGCTCCCCCAATGAAGTACTGACCTCAGCCTATGAGGAGGGGCTGAGGGAGGCTCTGGAAAGCCCAGTCACACCTGAATCCCCCTGAATCAGGGCAGAGGGCACCTGCAGAGCCCCAGAGATGATGTGGGCAACGAGCAGAGAGAGACCGGTGCCTCTGTTCACCGCCACCTCCTTAGGAAGAAAGAAAGCCTTTCTCTGGCTGGTTCCACTAAATGTGCCAGCCCAAATGTAGGGCACGGACTCTGGTTCTGCCAGGAGCCTGTGACACTCCCAAGAAGGGGGTGGAACTGAGGAAGAGCGAGGATGTGTAGGATGCACAGGCACTCATGCTTACCAGAGACTGTGGCAGCTCACTAGGATTCTAATCCCTTGCAACTGGTGTCAGCCAGCTCTCGTTCCCGGACAAGCAAGGACAGCCTGACCCTGCCCTCACATGCAGCCAGCCCCAAGTTCCGGCAATGCTGCCAGGAACCCCTCATACTTCCCTGCCTCCTTTGGGATTTGCGAACCCTTGTTGCAGTTCAGATTCCACAAGACCCTCTGCCCACCCTCTCACTAGGCCTCACCCAACCAGTGAAACTGGAGCCTCTGGCTATGCACAGTGGCTCACTTTGGGAGGCTGAGGCAGGAAGATTTCTGGAATCTGAGAGTTCAAGACCAACCTGGGCAACATAGTGAGACCCTGTCTGTACAAAAATAAAATAAAATAAAAAAGTGATTAGCTGGGTGTGGTGGTATGTGCCTATAGTCACAGCTCCTCAGGAGGCTGAGGTGGGAAGGTCACTGAGCCTGGAAGGTCAAGGATGCAGTGCCAAGATCGCACCACTGCACTCAATCCTGGGTGACAAAAAGAGACTCTTTCTCAAAAAAAAAAAAAAAAAAAGAAACAAATAATAAATAAATAAGTAAGCGCCTCTGGACAGAGCCTTAGGGGCTGCAGTGTTTTAAAAGAACCCTGGAAGAGTCCAAGGGCAGCCGGGGCTGTATCAGACCCTTACAACAAAACCCACAGAACAGGCAGGCAGGAGTCCGGTAATGAGCCTGACTACTGCAGTGAGTGCTTTGTGTACGAAGACCCGCCCAGTCCATGCTCCCAGCTGCCGCAGGAGCCCCTGGCTGCCCAGAGAGCACGCTGGTGCCCAGTCTCTGCATGGCAGGATTGGCCAGCAGGGACCCCAGCGCCTCAGTGATCCCACTGATGTTCAGAGCAGCCTGGCAGGGCCCAGCTCGGGGCCCTCACCATACCAGTTTCCACCTCCCTCCCCGGGATGAGGATTCTCTCTTCAGCCATGATATTGAGGAAGTGGTAAGATTCTTCCTAATCAATTCCAAATGGCATTTCACACCTGCCAGCCACACCTGCTGCCTCGTCCCGCCCTGCCCTCCAGCTCCTGCCCATCTCACTCATGCTCTTCCTGCAGAAATGCCCTCCTCCAGTCCCACTAGGTCCCACGCTGAGCCATCCTTCAGGTCTAGCTCCTATGAGGCCCCTGTTACCCTAGGAAGACACCTCCTCTCTTCACAGCCCCTTTTCAGACCCTGGCCCCTCTCATTACTAGTAGATGAACAGTGGGTGTCTGCTTCTCATCCATCCCCCAGGCGCAGTGCATGCCGCCTTGCCCGGCACCTGTGCTCCAACCCCGCAGTGTGTCCAGGATGGATGGGCCCCAAGGAAATGGAGCCCTGGCCAAACTCAGGCCAGGAGTAGACAGCAAATTGAAGCTGAAGCCTCTGGAGAAGGGGAAGAAAAGACGGACACCCTCTGTCTCGCTCCATAGTCACACTGGACACCAGAGGCTCAGGCCTGGCCCTCCTGGGGCCACATGCCCACACCTGGCAGTGATGATGCCAGTCTGGCAGGACACCTCCAGGCACTGCCCTGCTGCTTGGTGTGGAGGTCCAGCTGCAGGAATGCCACACAGTGGCCTGGCCACAGCTGGTGACCCAGATGTGGTGGTTGATGGAGAGGGTGTCCTGAAAGGGCCCAGGGCACAGTGTGGCCCCATGAAGTCCCCTGGAGGGACCGCCAACTCCTCTATGAGCGAGCCTCCTGAGGGGCCTCCTGCATGGCAGCCCTGTTCCCTGTCTGGAACGGCTACCCCACAGTGGGAGCTGGCAGGCTTCAGAGGGACCTGAGTGCTGAAAAAGCCTCTGTTTATTCACACAACCCCTGAGGGTGCTGGAGCCAGTGCATGGTCAGGGTGCTCCCCATGGGTGCCCCTTGCCTGCTGCAGTGCCAGAGAAGGCTAGAGGGATGCTGAGGCCAGAGGGCTGACCCGGGGCTGCTCACTGTCACTATGTGAGTGAAGCAGATGCTGACTGAGTAGGCCCCCAAGGAGGGCCCCAGGACCTCAGCTGTCACTCTCCCAGAGGGATGGTTGACCACTGGGGCCCAACAGTGAACAGGGGCTGCCCTCTTATGGGTGCCAGGGAAAGAATATGGTGAGGGTCTGGGTTAAAGTCAGCATGAGGGATACAGTTAGGGATTAGGGTTGAAGTCAGGGTCAGGGTCAAGGTAGATTTAGGGACTGGAGTGAGAGTGAGGGTCAAGGTCAAGCTCAGATTGGGTCAGGGCTTTTCTGATTGGCTTTGTCAAGGGTTGTACAGACATGCACTCTGGCATTTACTCTTGCTGTGGGCAAGAACCTGGGATGGGATCCAGGCTGCCAGGGTCTTGGTCTCTCTGGGACTTTGGCCAAGTCCTTTCCCTAACTGGGTCCTGTTGTCTGTAAGCAAAGGAGCTGCCCAGACACCCCTGTTCTGCCATCAGGAGCACCCCTGCTGCGAAGGGCAGGCAAGAGACACAGCTTGGGCTCTGGACGTGTTGAAGAGGGCAGCAGGTGCGGCTAAGCACCTTATGGCCTTTATCTCAACTTCCTTGCAACCAAAGCCCCGGGAATCAAACCCAGGAAACCAAGGTGCTCAAGGGCAAGCAGAAGCACATGCTCTGCCCTTGATAAAGAGGGGGTGAGTAACTATGGGGGACTGGACCCACACGGTCTCACACCAGAGCCCAGGTGCCAGCTCGGTGACTGCACGGCGCTGGCACTACCAGCTGCGGAGCTGGAGCCCAAGTGTTTGGCCACCTGTCCCTGTTCTCTTCCCTGGCAGAAACTGCTTCAAGACAGGCGAGTCTCTCCCAAAGTGATCTTCACATATGCCCCTGGCTGAGTATTTGGGAAGAGGTGGGGACGAGGCAGGTGTGGTCTAGTGGTCAGGGTCAGGTAGGGGATGAGAGGTCCAGCGCCCCATTAAATTCAGAGCAGCAGCTACGATCTGTGAGAAGGGCACAAGAGAGTGTTTGTTTTGTTTGTTTATTTGCTTTGGCAGTGGTGTATTAACAATAATAAGAAGAGGCTAAGGGAAGACTCATCAGTGTCTGGGAAATCGATCATGTTTCATTGCTTTGGTGGAGGCTGTCTTGCCTCTAAAGTCAACAGTCCTCAGTTGAGGCTCTCTTGAGAGAACGGGTGTCTAGGAGTTAGACTGAGGGCAGTGGTGATGGTCTGGGACATGGTGACCTCAGCATTCTTAAAGGACAGGTGGGCCAGGTGTCCTGCATACGAGAGCCAAAAGACGCTAATGGTCTGGCCTATCTCTGCCTCCAGGAGCCTAAGGCGTTCCTTCCCCTCCAGCGGGGTTGCTCCCCTTATAGAAATCCTCACCGCTCCTAACCCACCCTGTCCAGCTGGAGGTGATTACTACGTACCACCATCCCAGATGTGGGATAATGATCGTGATAATTATCATTAATATCCACAACTGCCCAGCGCCCGCCCGCAGAGCCAGGAGGTGAGAGTGACCGGGTAAGCTTCTCCCACTCCAACCCCTGCCTTGCAGCCCATGGGTTCCAGTAGCGGGTTCCCCCCATGCAGGAACGGAGGTGGGCAGGGGAGAGTAAGAAGGGTTAATTATGTGGCAGGGTCTCTCACAGCTGGTGTGGGTCTTTTCTCATTCCCCTTCCTTACGTCATGACTAAATATTTTATTTAAATGAGTGACACTTTCCTGGAGAATTGCCACAATTAAGAGTCTACTTATCTCTTCAAGTTTGTCAGTTCATTTCATCTTTTAATGGCACTTGCTGTCTGTGGGTGGTAGGGGACATGAACTGTCACACAGCCCCCAGGGAGCTGCCTATTGCTGGTTCTCTTGGCTGTGACTGGATGTGTTCCAGGAGCTGAGATATGCAGCAGCGCGTTGAGGAATTCTCAAGCAGCAGGGCGCACACTCCCCGCGAGGGGAACTGCTGTGTCATACCCAAGAAAGGCATCTACTGTCGTCAGCACCCCGAGGTGCTCCTGGCAGGAGGGGAGGAGGTCCGCGGAGTCTGTCGGGCAGGACTGGCCAGGTCAGCATACTGGAGTGCACAGATCACTGTGTGCGCTGGAGTCACTTTGTCGTGTGACTGGAGCTGGTACACTTGCAGGCTGGCTTGGCCCGGTGTGCTGGCCTCACCAGGCTCTGATGTGGGCCCTAGTCCTGAGCTATAGACGGATGGCCAGGCCCCGTGTGATGGGGTATCCGGGTGGCTGGATCCTTACCCGGACTATGCAGAATAGGTCAGCTTGTTGGCTTCACTGACATTCACTGCCAAGGGGTCCTGTTCCACGGGTTTTCAGAGGCCATGGGCCCTGTGCGACCTGCGGCCTAATGTTTGCTCCTACCGGGGTTGGGAGCGGACATCCAGTTGTTCCACTGTCAAGTGCCAGACCACATGGTCAGCCCACTGGCTACTGGCTGCCAGCTAGTGAGAATGTAACGAGGTGCATTTTGGAGGCGGCGGTTTCCAGGGCAAGCACCACAGCCTGCACCTGCGCCATGCGAAGACTTCTTTCTTCATACGCGGCTGTCATCAGTCTTTTCTGTTGGTGCTGTAGTTTGGCTGGTCTGCCTGTGACTCAGGCCCAGGCCTCCTCAGGGCCTGTGCTGTGGTGAAGTCCCCAAGGAGCCTGAGGTGCTGGTGCAGACCCCAGGTCTGGGGTAGCTACGCCTGGCGGGTGACTGGCCACTTTTTCATGCAGGTGGGAGATTCCACTGATGCCTGGCTTCCTCCGTTCTTGACTGTCCCCCTGTCATTTGGTGACACATGTCTGCTGGGCGGTGTTCACTGTGTTGGCATCTTTCCTCCAGGCCCACCCTATGGGGGCTGCCTGGGAGGAACCATGCATGGGGAGATGGTCTCTCAGTGTCCACCTATACCCAGCTGCAAGCCAGCAACTGCCACTCAAGGGGGTGTGCTGGGCCGTGTCTGTCAGGTGACTGCGGTACTCAGAACACCAGGATCACCTCTGCTGACTGCCGGCATCCTGCTGCAACGGGTTCTGGGCTGAATAATTGCCTGCCACACACACTCATAATTTTCAGGGCTCTTCAGGATGAATTGGACGGTGGGGAGGGCAGTCAGCATGGCTGCAGGATGGCTTCCTTGGGTGCCTCTTCTCTCCAGCTCCTTAGTGCTATGACCCCTGCTCTCTTCCATTCTCTGCTGCTTTACTGCCATCCCGTGGCTGGGCAGGCGAAGACTGGTGGGCTCCCAGATGTGCCCTTGAACCCTGGTCACGGTTCTAACTGTGGCCCTTCCCTGCTGGGAGCAGACCTTGCAGCCAGGAGCCATGGCCTCGGCTGATGCGCAGAGCTGCTCGCTCCTACAGGGCCCCTGACCCAGCCTCCCCCACTATTTCATCCTGTCTATTTTTATTTATTTATTTTTTGAGATGGGGTTTCA